GCAATTACAATTGTCATAATTTTCTTGTTAACAACTAATTATTCCATTTAATCAGCCCTACTTTTCAGTTTTGTCAATGTAGTCCTAAACCTTTTGGCGATATTTCAATGTAATCTTTCTCACCAATTGCCACAAATAATTTCTAACATGTAGTCATTGCGGGCTGTCCTAAGTGGCATGTTGGTGTGGGCAATTTGTTGATTTCCATGTCGTATTGCAACAACAATTGGCAGGAAAGACTGCATTTAAAAATTGCGCAAATGTGTAAGACTATATTGACAAAATTGGAAAGTCAAAACTGAATTGACATCCATACAAGGTTTAGGACTAAATTGATAATTTTCATAAATATTTAAATAATCACTCCTTTAACAGGCACATGTATAAGCATTTTTGGGATAAGTATACTAGATAATTTTCTTACGACTCTCACTTGAGGGTTATAAATTTGAAAAATTGATCACTTAAGTACTATCGGCGATTTGCCTCACCGGAAAATTAGACATGGACGCCGGTCGTCTTACGTGGCATCGACAGTGCCGACGTTCACAATTAATAAAAAAAATTTAAAAAATCCATGTCGTAATGGAAAATTAATAAAAAAAATCTATGTATGGTGATTTTTCGGAAATGACACTCAAATGATCGATTTTACTCCGATGTGGCGCTTAAGTGAGTGAGAAAAAAGTTGTGGCACTCAAGTGAGCGTTGTACGAAAGTTATGGCACTCCTGCATTCCTTATTCTATTTTAAGACAAAGAGAGACTTACTCTTTGATTGAATAAGGAAAACCCATGTGGCCTGAGAATAATCATCCACAATAGTACGAAAGAAATGAGATCCATCACGATGTGGAGTGTGATAAGGACCCCAAACATGAACGTGAATAAGTGAAAAAATGTTGATGGCACGTGATTTGCTAGTAGGAACTTGCGTACGTAATTGCGTTGCTAAAGGACAAATTTTGCAGTGAGGAGGTGAAAAGGAAGCACTATGACCCAATCGTTGATGAGAAAAGAAAACTTAATCATTGGTAGCGGTATTACACAAAAATTGTTTATTCAAGGAAATACACAATAAATTAAAATTTTGTCAAAAGCTGGTCTAGAAATATAGCCCTTGTGAAATACTACCCAAGCCCATCATTTTGCCAGTCGAAAGGGCTTGAAAGAAGCAATTATCATAATTGAAGAAGACATGACAGGAATTGTCTTTGCAAACTTCGGAAACAGAAATGAGATTAAATTGGAATTGAGGAACATAGATGACATATCGAAGGGTAATGGAGGAGGTAAGGTTGACCATGCCAATTTCTGTGACATAAGTAATATGCCCATTGGGAAGACGAATTGATATAGGTGAATTCATATTTGCATGAACATGAGTAATGAATCTTTTGTAGCAAATAATGTGGTCACTAACACCTGAATCAATTATCTATGCATCATTTGAAATGAAATTCATTAAGCAGTAGGAAGTACCCGAAAAACTTGCCATTTATCATAAATTTCCAATTGTTTCAAGGCCTTCACGAGTTATTGATATTGATCATGAGTAATTGGTTGACTTCCTTTGACAATGCTTTGCCCCATGACCTGATCAGCTAAGAATTCCCTTTCTTTCTTCCCTTTTTCTCTGGGCTTTCCATGCAATTTCCAGCAAGTATCTATTGTGTGATGTGGACATTTGCAATAATCACAAATTTTTTTTAAAATTTTCCTTATAAATCTTGTCCATTTCCCTTCTAAGACGTGGCAGGAGATGGACCACCGGATTTGAATATCGGTGCTAACGTGGCCTCATAGGAGATGTCCGATCCAGACACTAGATGCTTCGCACGTGAGCCGTCCAATCTTTAATTTAAATCTAGACCGTCCATTCTGCATGGAAAGCTTTTTTCTTCTTTAGCAAACCCTAGTGTTGATGCCACAACATGTCTCCACCCTTCCGCCCTCGATTTTCTGGTGACTCCTCTCTGTTGAGTTCTTGCTTGAGCCGAAAAGAGTACAAATTCCCCGACTTTTGCGTATTTCGATGAAGCCAGTCGTTGGCTTTCCTCTTGGACAGCGAGTTGGTAAATCTGGCCAAGGACGACACTGGTTCCATTGCCAGAATCCGAAAGTGAAAAGGTAAGTAAGTCTCGTTCAAAATTAAAAGAAAACGAGTCACTTTCTCCCTTTCCCTTATAGATTTGTACTGTTGCAACATCAAGTCTGGTCCCTCGAGTTTTTCTTCGGCTGCTTTTAGTTGGTTCCCAAGTGCTAAAAGCTTGTTGAAGCAAGCTATGACCGTCATGTTCCCTTGCTTTAATTCGCTGAGTGCTTGCGTAAAAGAAAAAAATTTGGCCCGATCTGGGGGAAGAACAGCATTGGTGCCAAAACTTGTGTACGAAGGCCACTTTGGTGCCAAAACTTTCATTTGGATCACTTAAATGCCAAAAGTTTACGCCGGCGATCACTTAAGTGCCAAATCGGAAAAAAAACGATCACCTAAGTGCCAACGGCGAGAAATTCCGATCAAATTTAATACGTGGCTTTTATATTTAAATTTTAATGACACGTGGCATTTCCATGTGTATAATTCAAATTTTTTAAATATTTTTTTTTCTGATTTTCTTCTTTCTTTTCTTTTTTTTTCTTTTCTTTCTTCTTATTTCCGATGGCCAGCGTCCGGCCACCGGCCATGGCCGGCCTCGCCTGACATCGCCTTCCTTCGGGCGAGGCCCGGCGAGGCCGGCCCTCGCCGAGGCCACGGCTGCCTCGCTGGGCCTCGCCTTCCTCCGGGCGAGGCCCGGTGAGGCGCCAGTGGCCTCGCCGGATCTGCGAGGCGAGCCCTCGCCGAGGCTCGCCCCGCCCGGCGAGGGTCGAGGTCGCCCGGGCGGGGTGAGCCCCGGCGAGGTTCGCCTCGCCAGATCCGGCGAGGCGCCGTGGCTCGGCGAGGGCCGGCCTCGCCGGATCTGGCGAGCGAGCCCTCGTCGGGGCTCGCCCGCCTGGGACCTCGACCCTCGCTTGGGCGGGGCGAGCCACGGCGAGGCTCGCCTCACCCGTATCCGGCGAGGCCAGCCCTCGCTGAGGCCACGGCAGCCTCGCCCGGAGGAAGGCAAGGCCCGGCGAGGCCGGCCATGGCCGGTGGCCGGACGCCGGCCATCGGAAATAAGAAGAAAGAAAAGAAAAAAAAAAGAAAAGAAACGAAAAAAGAAAGAAAAGGAAAAAAAAAGAAAAGAAAGAAAAGGAAAAAAAAAAGAAAAGAAATGCCACATCAGCCTCCGGCGAGTCCATCAGCTTGAGAAATTAATAAAAAAATGCCACGTCGGATTTCCGGCGAAGTGGCACTTAAGTAATCGTTTTTCACAACTTTTAGCACTTAAGTGATCCGATTGAAAGTTTTGGCACCAAAGTGGCCTCCGTACACAAGTTTTGGCACCAATGCTGTTCTTCCCTCGCCCGATCTAGCTTACCATACATCTCTTTGATATTCTCCCACATGTACCTTGAGTCCTCCGTCAGAAGAAGTCCGGCCACCACTTTTGGTGAAATGCAATTGCTGATCCATGTTCGGACGAGGTTGCATTTCCTCCTGTGTCGTGCCAGATTCTCGTAGGAGGGAATTGGGACGACTCCGTCAAGAAAACCATCTTTATCCTTTGTTACTAGAGCTCGCCGAAATTCTTGGGACCACCTGGAATAATTCTTGAGATCGGACAATTGTTCGTTGATGAGTTGCAACTCCGGTCAGTCGGTGGTGGAAGTGTACAGTGGGTCATCGGGCTCCAGGCAACCATTGGCAGCAGGAATTGAGAACAACATCAATCTAGGTTGAATAACCAGGTAGGGATTCGTTCCCTGACCTGATATACTAGATTCGGATACTTGACGCGGATAATACATTCTAGGCCTAGGGGTTGGGCTTACCCCAATATTGGCCGACAGGCTCCCTCGAGTCTGGTTGTGCTCTTCGTGGCCTTGATTAACTAGGCCTTGGGGATTTTGGGCCTGATTCGTTGGCTCTTGAAAGCTGTACCTTGGATTCGAATGGCTCGGCTCATACCAGGATGGCTTGAATGGGCCTTGGACAGGCAGACATCTAATGGGCTACCCCAAATTGGGTTGCCCCTGGTTTTGCTGGGCCTGAATAGGATCTTGCTAGATGGGCTAGATTTGTACGATGGACTCCTAACTTGGTGTGACTCCGGTGGGATATGTCAGTGTTGGTTTCATAGGTGGATCCAAATGAAGTATACCCTCCAGGTTTTCTTCTGGAATTTGGTCTTCAGATCTTGAAAAAAAATTTGCCATTGAATTAGTGAGAGAGTATTATTTTTTTTTACAGAATCGCTAAAAAGAAACTGATTCCTATGCCGGAGTGCTAACTTTGTTTTGCAAATTAGTGTTTTTCGCAACAACAAGGATAGAAAAGAAAAATGGAAGGCAATTAAGGAAGAAAATTTGCGAAAGCTAAACTAGGAACATGAGCTCATATACCACGACATGAAGTGAGAAAGAAGATGTTGGTCGCAAGCTAATTGCCGTCCTCCTCTCTACCGCTTTGTGTAGCTCCTCCCTACCGCTTTGTGTAGCTATGGCTTCCTATACCTTAAACCCTAACCCAAACCCTACCAAAAGCCCCAACCTTCCACCATGATTTAACCCGATTTCCTGCTTTCTCTACTCTCTTCGATAAGTTTCCCAGTGTTCACTTTGCATCTGTGGTTCAACTCTTTGTTCTCTTCTACAGCTTCTTCCCTATCCCACAACCATTGAAGCATATGCGTGTCTTTGGCTCTTGGGTTCTCAGCCTTGTCACCCACCTTTGAAACCTGCCCACAAATCCATTCCCATTATCACAGCTTTGTCTCGCACCCATGTTGCCCTCCACAAATTTCTTGGCTCCTTCTGCGATTTTTTGGCTTTCTGGGCCTTTTGACCTCTACTACCGGTGAATGCTTCCAAGTGTTGTGTCCCATTTTTAATAGGGTTTCGAGCTACTAAAGAACGTTGATGATGGATGAGGAAGAAGGTGCTGCTGAGCGTTTGGCACATCTCTGCAATAAACTGGGTAAGTTAATGTACGAAAATGATATGAATATTCTAGATGAGGAACTTTCAGAGGAAAAAATCATGGAATGTCGGGTCTCTCTTATTGGGCAACTTTTCCAAAACCCTAGCGTAAATTTCCAAGCACTCCAAACAGCTATGAAGAAGGCTTGGAGGAATGAGTATGTAGAGGTCAAACCCCTCGAAAATGGCAAGTTCAGTTTTGCATTTCGTAATGAAGGAGAAAAGAATCGAGTGCTGGAAGGAGGTCCTTGGTCTTTTTCTAATCATTTACTGCTCTTGAAACCCTGGGAACCGGATACTCCTCTCCATTGTTATGAGTTCAAGACCTGTGCCTTTTGGGTTAGAATTTTTGGACTCCCTCTTAAATGGAATTCTGAAGGTATGGTAAAGAAAATTGCTAGCTCGATGGGGAAGGTACTAGAAGTGAAAATAGATGCTCGAGGCCCTGCAGCTCAAAGAATTGGGAAAGCGAGAGTAGAAATGGACATGGATACTGAACTGAGAGTTGGACAATTGATGCGACACCAAAATAGGAAGGTCTGGCTTGATTTTAAATACGAAAGGCTGCCTTTCTTTTGTTACTCGTGTGGGAAGATTGGACACTATGCTAATTACTGCAAAGACATTCCCTATGATGCAGAAAAATTTACGATAGAGTTGGGAAGTTGTTTTGGAAGCTGGCTGAAAGCTGAAACTCCAGGGCACAGTCCCTTTTGGAAAGTTTTCTACAAGAAGGAATCTATGGTAGAAGAAATTGAAGAGAGTATCCCTGAAACTCCTGAGCACCAAAGGCAAAATGCGGTTATGGAAGATGTTCAGCCCATCTCTCCCAGTATTAATTCCAACATACAACAGAGAGATCAAATGAGGACAGATCCCTACTACACGCAGGAGATAACAATGCATAATTCTGGTAAAAGAGCACTTCTGCTTACAGGCCCTACTCATGAGAAAGGCTTGAATTCTCAGCCTGCCCAAACAAGTTCAGAAGGCAACAGAAAGAAGAGCCGTAAGGAACCAAAAACTCTCTCAACCAAAAAACAAAAGAGGTTCAGTCCTTACAATTCACTACCTAAAACCCCAACTTGGCTGGATGAAACTCAACTTCTTGAAACACCTGTTCGTACAACGGAAGAAGTCGCTGCATGGGCTTTGGTGGCTAGCCCTAATAAGCCACCAAGTGAACCATGAATATACTATGCTGGAACTGTCAAGGGTTGGGCACACCCTTGACAGTCCGAGAATTAAGAGCTTTAGTGGCTCGTTTTAGGCCCACTGTGGTTTTTCTGATGGAAACAAAAAATCAGGATGAAGTTATTCAGAGAATAAAGAGAAGACTCCAGTTTCAGAGTTGTTTTGTAGTTAATCCTGTGGGCACGGCGGGAGGCTTGGCTATTCTGTGGGATGAAAGAATTTCACTAGAAAAAGACTCAATGTCTGAGGAATTTGTGAATTTGAGGTGTAAAGAGGTGGTTAGTGGAAAGGAAATGAGAGTTACATTTGTTCATACTTCTTATTTGTACCAAAAAAGGCTACAACTTTGGGAGGAATTGCGAAATATAAGTTCCATGAATGTACTGCCTTGGGTGTGTTTGGGTGACTTTAACGAGGTGCGGTTATACTGGGAAAAAGTTGGAAAGCGCTTGGCTGAAAACTATAGAATGAATGCTTTTCGGGATTGTCTATATGCCTATTCATTGATAGACATTGACAGTAAAGGGTGTGCGTTCACTTGGGCCAATAATAGAGAAGGGGATGAGTACATTAAAGAACGACTTGACAGGGTGGTATGTACAATTGAATGGAGGTTGATGTTCCCTGACGCGGAAGCTTATGCTCTCCTAGCAATAGGATCAGATCACAGTCCTATACTTCTATCTCTTTGGGCTAACCCTGTAAAACGAAAAAAGGAATTCAAGTTTGAAGCCTTCTGGCTTGAGAGTGATGAATGTAGAAAGGTGGTGAAAGAAACTTGGAGCTCTCCCACTCACTTTGAAAAGGATTTAGTCGGGAAGTTGCAGGCCGTAACTTTTGCTCTTTCCAAATGGAGTAAGAAGAAATTCGCGAATGGACATAGGGAAATCAGCTTGCTGAAACAGGAACTGCAGTGGCTGACAAACAATACCATGGGGTCCTTTGACAAAGTGAGAATCAAAAACCTGCAAGAAGATATTGATTATTTATGGAGGCGGGAAGAGATGTATTGGGGGCTGCGATCGAGAATTAATTGATTGAAATGGGGAGATAGAAACACAAATTTTTTTCATGCAACTACCATTCAGAGGCGACAGAGGAATAGGATCTCTATGCTTCAGAATTTAGAGAATACATGGCTATTTGAGCAGTGCCAGTTGAAAGAACATACTATACTTTTTTTTCCGAGATCTATATCAATCTATCGGCCCTCGAAATTTCTCCCCAGTTCTGGATTAGGTATCTCGGGTGGTAACAGAAGAGATGAATCACCTCTTGTTGGCTGAAGCAACCTTGGAAGAAGTAACGAATGCAACTTTCCAGCTCGGCGCAGCAAAAGCACCGGCGCCTGATGGCCTTAGTGGTTTGTTTTATCAGCAGAATTGGGAAGAGATTAAATGGGATATTCTAAAGGAGGTGAGGAATTTCTTCAACAGTGGATCCCTGCCACCAGATTTAAATAAAACACAAATCTCCCTTATCCCAAAAGTCCCGAACCCATAGAGACTAGATCAATACCGCCCAATTAGTTTATGTAATTTTGGCTACAAGATTATCTCAAAAGTGCTGGCCAATAGACTCAAACCACTTCTACCAGAACTTGTTGCAATGGAACAAAGTGCTTTCGTCGGCGGGAGGCAAATTCAAGATAACATCTTTATTGTCCAGGAGGTGTTGCATCAAATTAGAATTCGAAAGAGAAGAAAGAAATTTCAAGCGGTTCTCAAGTTAGACATGAAGAAAGCCTACGATCGAGTGGAATGGGATTTCTTGGAGGCATGCCTAATCAAGATTGGCTTTGATGAGAAATGGGTGGGATGAATTATGAAATGTGTCACAACAGTTTCATTCAGCGTTAAATTTAATGGAGAACCTCTCCATTACTTCAAACCTTCTCGAGGGATTAGGCAATGGGACCCCCTATCTCCTTACCTTTTCATTCTGGTGGCAAATGTACTGTCCTCATTAATGAAGACAGCTGTGGACAATGGAAGTATCACAGGGATTAAACTGAACAGGTGGTGTCCCACCCTTTCTCATTTACTCTTTGTGGATGACTCAACATTCTTCTTGAATGGTACAATTCTAGAGTGTCAGAATTTGGCATCTATCCTGAATCAATATTGCCTAGCATCTGGACAAGCTATAAACTTAAACAAATCGGGGATTTTCTTTGGTAGTGATTGCCCCCAAACTCTGAAAGACAATATGGCAAGGGAATTGAGAGTTCCTATTATTGACAAAACTGGCAAATATCTTGGAATTCCTTCGGATTGGGGAGTATCGAAAAAACAAATGTTTGCTTGGATTTTAGGACAAGTCAATTCCAAACTAGAAGGGTGGAAGGAAAAACTAATGTCAAAAGCTGGTAAAGAAGTTTTGCTTAAAGCGGTGGTTCAAGCATTACCACAATATGCCATGTCTGTTTTTAAGATCCCGATTTCTATTTGTAAGGCTATTGAACAGAAAATTGCTTCATTCTGGTGGAAAACCAGTGAGACCAAAGCCGGAATTCACTGGAAGAGATGGGATATTCTGAAGACAAGAAAGGATAAGGGTGGCTTGGGATTTGGAGATCTGCTCTCCTTCAATAAAGCAATGTTAGGAAAGCAAGCTTGGCGTCTGAGTAACAGTCCAAACTCTCTCTGGAGCATTCTAGTTAAGGGCCTTTATTTTCCTCATAGAGATTTCTGGCATGCGAAAAAGGGACAACGCCCCTCATGGGGTTGGCAAAGTCTGATCCTAGGAAGAGACTCCATCTCACCCCAAGTGCTGTGGGCAGTAGGGGATGGTTCACAGATAAGAATCAGGGAGGATAAATGGCTGAAGAGGGGAATCATAGGAGGTCCTGCTAATAGAGATGAACCACGTTTTGTCTCTGAACTCATTATTAGTGAGGAAGGCATATGGGATGAAACAGTTTTAACTGAACATTTTGAGGATCAATTAGTGAGAGAAATCCTTGCTATCCCGATTAAACCCCAAACAGAGAAAGACCGGCTCGTATGGACTAGAACTCAAGCAGGCAAGTACACAGTTAAAAGTGGATACAACTACATTTGAGAGAAAGCAAATAAACAGAATGAAAATCAAGCCTCAACTTCTTTTCAACCTCCTCCCATCCTCTGGACAAATATATGGAAATTGCACTCTCCACCCAAGGTTAGAATTTTCATGTGGAATTTATGCCAGAATGCTCTCCCAACTAAAGAGAATTTATTTCGAAGAAAAGTTATACCTGATCCCACATGCTCTTTATGCAATCGAGGCGTGGAAACTGTGGAGCACCTGTTTTTATTGTGTCCTTGGACGAAGGAAATTTGGTCGAACCCTATGCTGAATGTTCATATATCAAGTCAGGGTCTTACTCGAATTGAAGATTGGTTCGGGAATTTGAAAGGAAAGTCAAGCAACTCACCTAATCTGCTGCAACACTATGGAATATATGGAAGGCGCGCAACCAAGCCATCTTCAAGAACAGAAAACCCGATACAATCAACCTCATCGACTCTGTTCTAGCTGGGTTGAAGAGCTTTAACAGATGGAACCCCAAATCAAGCAGATCTGGGAACAAAGCCGACGATTTTTTAGGGACTTGGAATCCACGGCTGTATGGAACTTATAAGATAAACATCGATGGAGCGTACGAACCTGGAGCTTTGGAAGGTTCGATCGCCTGCGTTTGCCGTGATTTCGTCGGAAGGTTGTTGGACGGAGCAGCTCGTACGGTGGCAACGTCGTCCCCGCCGATGGCTGAGTCTCTCGCTTTGTTAGAAGCCCTAACTCACTTCTTTCCCAAACGATACGAAGTCCTTGTACTTGAGTCTGACAGTTTGGACTTAGTCAATGCCTTAGAGAGTCCAGATCAACTTAGTTGGGAAGTTCACGCGCTTATCTTGAAATGCAAAGACCTGCTACGATCCTTCTCTAGTATCCGGGTTATTCATTGTTATAGAGAGGCCAACTTTGTAGCGGACTGGGTTACGAAAGCCTACAAAAAAAAACTACCTACCTTTGAATTGGGTCTTCTCCCCTCCCCAAGCACTTTGGGAGCTCTTATGTACTGATGCCCATTTATCGGGTCCTACTATCCTTTCTTAGTGAATGATATATTTAATTTTCGGCAAAAGGACACTATAAGTGTCATAACTTGTGTACGGCGCTCACTTTGGTGCCATAATTTTTTTTCGGATCACTTTGGTGCCAAGTCGGAGGAAAAACGATCATTTAAATGTTATAACTTTTTTTTGGATCACTTTAGTGCTAAAATTTTTGAAAAACGATCACTTAAGTGCTAAAATTTTTGAAAAATGAACATTTAAGTGCTAAAATTTTTGAAAAACGATCACTTAAGTGCCAATCTCCGGCGAGCCACGTCAGCTTCAGAAATTTATATAAAAAAATGCCACGTCAGATTTCCGGCGAAAAATTGTGTACGGCACCGAAGTTGGCACTTAAGTGATCGTTTTTCAAAAATTTTAGCACTTAAGTGATCGTTTTTCAAAAATTTTAGCACTAAAGTGATCCAAAAAAAAGTTATGGCACTAAAGTGAGCGCCGTACACAAGTTATGGCACTTGTAGTGTTCTTTTGCCTTTAATTTTCCGACCAAAAAAAAAAGTGAGAAAGAAGAGAATTTGAGAAATTTATTTGTATTCACTCTATTGATTTGATATGCATTCTTTACATGTATTTATATTGCAATGTACAGACAATAAAAGTAAATAATACAAAGATATAGAATCAATTTGAATCACTAATTGATTCAGTTAATCAATCCAAATCCTAGATTGATTCAATATATCTTAAATGGACAATTATATCTCCAACAATAATCACTTTATGTTTTTTCAATAACAATCGAAGATTAATTGACGCTTCCAAAATTTCAATTTCCAAGCTTGCCTTTAAGCCTCTAGGAGATCCGTTAAACGGGTAGGTCAAGTCAGGTTTGGGTCAGGTTGAAAATGGTCCGATCCAAATTGATTCGTTTAACTC